TCAGTCTCACTGATAAAATAATCAGATATCACACAGACACTTACTTATACGCCGTACAATTTCTATACTGAATACATCTTGAGGTCTGGAGCATTCAAGCTCCACGGACACAGTACTTCCACTGAATGAGTTCAGAGATTCAATACTGCAACGTTGTGTGTTTCCTGATCCTGTACACACTTTGCAACCTTTGACCTGATTATTATTTCTGATGTTTATAGCGGCTCCAGGTTCAACAGTGAGAGTCAACTTCTGGGCCCCTGGAAGCAAACAGAGTTATCGTGAGCAAAGGGATGTATCATATCTGGAAATAACACAGTGAAATTCCATTCACAAATAAAACTGACTGCTGTGATAGATGAAGCTTGTCTTAAGTGTTCCTGTGACTAAGCAGGTCTGTACTGAGTAAACCTGAGCAAGCTCAGCACATAATATGGTGCTTCAGTCAGGTCGGCCATAACCTAGTTTACACTGAAATGTTTGTTATTCAAATTTACACAGGGGCAAAACCGGCACAGCCCATATCAAATGACACAGTCTGGGAGCTTCTTGAAAGGGATTTTGTTGCTTCAGCTGTTTTCAGCTTCCGGGTGAAGACAGTGTCAATATTTCACGGACAGATCCACCACCTCACCAATATTTCACACCAAATCTCTCCCCCTGGTTCATATTTAAGGTTCGGGTTACCTGACACGGTGGACACGATGAACGTAAGAAGTAAAATCCACAGAAGGGCCGCGCCTGTTGATACGGACATGCTGCCCTACAGTGACGCTCTGAAACTTTCAATCCTGAGAGAAAAAACAAAAATAAAATCAGCGGACACATTTCATCGCTTCTTGTCTGGAGCTGGGACGCCACATTTTCCTCTGCGTTACATCAAGCTCACGGAGCAGTTGTCGACACAACGAGTCCACTCCCTATGTGAACGTGTGCCAGCAAGGAGGGAGTGCTGAGGCCAGGTGATGTTTAAAGGCGTGGCTAGAATCGCCATCTTGGCAGGTAGGCGTGCTGACGCGTTACGACACTCCTGACGTGATGCAGAACAAAAGTGCTAAAATAAAGTGAAATTTCTGGAAAATATGCAGAGTTTGATATACGATAAAACAGGCTCAGTCCTCTCATGACAATAAAATGTAGATTTAGCCTGCACTGTTTTCAGACTTAAGGAATGAGATTAGTAACAACTGTGCTTGTCTTCTGTTTCATGTGAAAGTCTTTAGATCGAGTGTAAAATAGCAGAACAAAGGATCGAGGGAGTTGTGCCACACCCTGTTTCTAGGGAAGAAATTGGTCATGTGACCGCACATTTGTGGAGAGTCCGACATTTTTCTCATCCTGCAAAGAAGCGCCTCGTTGCATGAGAATTAAGCACATTTAAGTTCAAGTGATTTTTGCCTTTCCAGGTAAAATTTCTGTGATCAAGGTGTTTTGATTATTTTGTCTGTTTTAAACAAGTTTGAAAACATTTCACAAATGTTTTAGTCCTTTTGTAAGCTACACTATGAGTCTATACGCCTGTAGTTATGCCACAGAGTTATGTGGAGGACAGGCAGAGCTTCCCCTCTGTTAGAGGACGTAAACAGAGCTGTGAACTATAGTGAGCAAGGTGGAGAAGAAGATGAACATATGCAGGATGACATTAAAACGATCTATGGAGAAGAAAAAGATAGATGGAAAAGAAATAATGCCATTAAAGGGTATAAAGGAACTGCACTTGCCTGTCCAGTCTTTGACGACCATATAGAGAAAGAACTGGCAGAACATATAAAGGCACAAGCAGCTTGATGTGTTCATTTCTTTGTCCATACTCAAAAGCCACTTCACGGTATTTGAGTATGAACAAAGAAGTGGATCAAAGAGGCAAACGCAGGTTGTGTTGTATTTATTTATTAAGATGAAGTAATTGGGAACATTAATCATAATA